GGTGCCGCTTGCATCCCTTCGGCGCGGAGCATGAAGCCCCTCCCACGAACGGGCTGCTGATCTCGAGATGGGTGATTTCGGAAGATGTCCTCGACATAACCATGGAGCTCCACACTGTATGACATCATAACGGCAATGCTTGCTTGTCCTCCGCAACAACGCAGAACGACATGCCTCCTGCACGACAGAGGCCGAAATTGTCCAACTCCCCTGAACTCTCAGCGACAGAGCTCCGGCAGCCGTGCCGAACCTTTGTGGCGATCAGCTCCAGCAAGACGTTGATGGCAGACGCACATGTGCACCCTAGTTTGAACTGGGGTCTAACACTGCCGTCTGCTACGCGACAGCTCTCAGACAGCCAAGCGGCTGCGCTGCTGCAACTCTACAGCACGAACTCAACATCCGCACCTCGGCAACACGCAGGTTCGTGCTCGCAGAATGCAGGCACAAGAAAATGAGATGATGGCCGGTTGCCTGCTGTTTGAGCTCCAGAAGCACCTGAAACTTCCAAGAGCAGATTAGCAGCCAGCTCTTCATTCTCGGGTTACACCTTCACTAGCCAACCTAGAGAGAGCTTCTCCTGCAAGCAGTTGCAAGCCACAGCAGTCGTGTGCCTGGTCGACCTTCTTGGCGCTAACGTCAACCTGCCCATGCAATGCATCCTCTCGCACTCTCACGGTTTCGGGCAACCTTGTCAATTCTGAAGTAGTAGGTGGGACGACTCATGGTACTTGTCAAAGAACATCTTCATCTCAACGATGCACCAGCCGAAGTCAGGCCTTCATCGCGAAACAACATCGAACAACACCAGATGCTGCTAGCAAGCAACATCAGATGCCACAATGCCTGAGCTCTTCTGCACCTCAGCAACGACAATTTGTGCTTCCATTTCGTAGAGCCACAACACACGGGCAGCTGGCGATAACACTCGTCGGATGTTGCACAGGGCCACGTACTGAACTTCTGAAGGCATCACTGCTCTAAGATGAACATGTGGGTGTTTCTGTAGTGGTCTCTGACTGATTCCTACAGACCTCCCATTGTGTTGAAAGGCAAAAGCAGCCACAACACTTTCAGTCCAAGGCCAGGCCACAGCTGGAGAAGATCTGCATCCCCTCGCAGCGCTTTGATGCAGGAAGCTTCTCCCTCTTTCAATGCGTGATGCCTCTATCGGCTGTCGGCCTTGAGCGCTTGCTCGGGCCGAGGAAGGCTGCCCTCGAGCCGCATCGCGATCTCCCGGAGCCGGCCCATGAAGCAGCAAGACTGACAGAGTCGCCAAGGCTGCGACCTGGACCCCAATCCAGGCAATGCTCGGGTCTCAGGTTGCATTATTGCTGCGGGTTTAGGGTTCCAGGATGTTCGGCAAGGCATGTTTTTCCCCCACAGGCGAACGGCACAGTCAAGCGTTGCCATCCCACAGCGCGCATCTGCACCCCCGCTCCCGAAAGATGTCGAAGAGCTTCTGGACCACTTCGTCTTTCACGCACTTGGGATCTATGCCCCGGGCTTGCATCTGTTTCTTCCAGGGTCCGTTGAGCATGTTTGTCACATGCCTCTTAACTTTGCCATTACTTTTATGGGCCTGGGTGTTACTAACTAGTTATGTGTGTGTTAAGATAGTTAGCTAACTAGTTACGTAACTAGTTATGTAACTAGTTAACTTGAGATATGCATAGTGTGAAAATGACATAGGCAATGATGTGAAATGACTAAAAAATAAGCTTGCAGGGACTTTGCAAAAGTTTGTATGTAAAGATCGCAAAGCCATAAGTTGGCTTGATAATGAAATATGTTTCAAGTGAACATGAAGAAAACACCCTACAGATGCAAGCTGCATTTCCATTTCTTCCAAAATATGTCTTTCACACACATCCAAGCGATGAGCATATTTCATGGCCCGAGCCTTTTCAACTTAGAGCCATGCATCGGCTTGACATGCTTTCATTGACATGCACCGGCTGCCTTCGGAACTCGTACAATGCCACACATTTTTTTGCAGCACCCGTTGTTTTCTGCATGCAGCATGATCAGCATCGTCAATTCAAAAGCGATGGAATCAAGGTGAGAATGCCATCCTTAGTGCATGTATAAGTAACCGCACTCAGAATCTCTGCCACGGGGACAACAATCCTTCGGTCTTGGTTCGTCCATGTTGCGAAAAACCTCTCCGGCATGTAAGAAGAGAAATTGTAGACTTGGATCAAGCAAAATGCTTGGCCGTCGATCTTGAACGGGGCTTGCAAGTGCCCGCAGTCCCACTTGGCATGCGAGGTTTCCTCTGGCTTGAAGAGAACCACATCGTTTCTAAAGGCCCGGGCGCCACCCTGCAAGATGACAAAGTTGGAGGTGTAGACTGGGCCCTTGGAAGCAAACATTTATTGGACAAGGTTGGCCAAGGCATTATTGGGCTTGCTGTGTGCAGCCAAACCAACTTCAGGAAGAGGGGTCCTGGCCATCCTGTGCAACTGCTCGCCTAGCAATTCCGTGTAAACGGATTGCTCGAAATGCGAAAGGTTCGTTACCTTCGTCGCCACAGCTGTGACCTGTTTGTGTTTCCGCTCCATGCACCAGCAGGGTAGTAATTGCTGCAGCTCTTCCAAGGAATCCCCCATATGCAAAAGCCAATGGAACTTTTTGGTCATCACGTGTCCCCACTTGGCTTCGAGGAAAGCCTTCAAGCATGCTTCCACCGTTTGGTCTAAATCTCGCCCAAGCACCTGGATCTTGCCGATGTTGCAAAGTGTGTCCAACACGAGACACAAGGCCAAGAAAGCAAGGATTTGCTTCTCAAGCTGGGGCACACGGTTCGCGAACAACTGAACATAGTACCTGCAAATGGTGTAAATGCAGAGGACATCTGAAGCTTGGCACTTGATCTTGCCGTTTGACCTGTGAGTGGAAACCCTAGAAGTGGAAAAGATGTCTGCCATCTTGCAGGATTCGAAGGCTCGGGGCAAGTGCCAATCGGCCATATAGTCTTCCATGCCTTTCCACAACTGCAGATCTTCCATGTGGAATGCTTCCAGAATACAGTAAAGCCCAATGTTCATAGCACCGGAGCTGCAGGTTGCATGCATCCAGTCATGCACGAACATCGTGCAGGGCTTAAAGTAGTCTCGCAACAAGCCACAGCCTAGAATCCCGTGTGGTGTGTACATCCAACCGGATGCTTGCTCCCAAAGGCTGAAATCCTTGGCAGTGGTGGTTGATTTCCTAGAATGCAAGCGATCCCAACTCTGCAGGCATTCCTCGTTCGAGGTCAATACCAGGTCTGCCTTCTTCGCGCATTGCATACCGCCTTTTCATCATCTGTTTCATCCTTCAGCAACATAGCAACCTGATTGCTGCACTTGAGACAGAACTTAGAGCCACTGTCGCCTTTGATTGTGAAGATTTCCCTTTGGCTTGCACCATCTTGGATGAAATTTCCAAGTGTGAAAAACAATCGCCACTTCGAGCCATCAGGCTTGTCTAGCATAATGCCCAGATGCTGTGGGGAAGCCACCTTTCCATGGAAGATGCTGCAGAGCAGGTGCTTGATCACTTGGGACATGTGCCCCTCGATCTTAGCAACACTGCTTGACCTCTGCACAAAAATCGGCAGCCAGCTATCTTCCTTGGATAAGAGCTGCTGTCCGAACTCCTTAAAGGAGACATAGGTAACCCAGACCTTCTTCCGTGCATTGGCCGCCAGTGGGTTGGCTGGCAAGCACTCGTCTGAGTACATAACCAGGCTCCATGGGGACTCCAAGGACGAAGGGCCATGCACACTGATTGCAGACTGCATGCATTCGAAGAAGTGGCCACCCATCTGCACGGCAGCATACAGCAAAGTGAGCAGGTTCACCACGCAGACTGCCATGCTGCTTCCGTCCTGGCAAAGCATGGACTCGCTGAGGAACATCGGGCCATGGGCACAATCATCCCATTGCTTCAGATCTGCAACCGCCGATCTCCTCATGGACTTGGAGCTCTTGGCCTCCGGCACCCCATGCTCCTCCACATAGTGCAAAACCTCAGAGAGTGCCTGCTTTGTCACGAAAGGACAAGCTCTTCTCAAATCATTGATGCCCTTCAGCTTCTTGCTGGGTTGGCTCGCTGCCATGTCGGGCTCATGCAATTTGGATGTTGCAAGTATCTATGATGTGGGCCGTGTCTAGAAGCCTATATAGATACGTTTAGCTTCTAAAGTCCTGCACTTGGGTTTTGTGGTTCTAGGAATATATATATATATACTATATTCCTATCTAGTCGATGTGCACTATAGGTTTGGAAGCTTCGGGTTGGAGGAATGCATAAATAGGAAGTGGTACTGAAAGATTTGTTGGGCCATTGAGCACTATATAAAGTCATGAGGACGACATTGCTCATATTGTACATAGCCAACATAGGCTTATATGCAACTTACCAGGCCTTTAACTTAAAGCCTGCAGTTGAGATGATGGGCAAACCCCAAGAAAAGCCAAAGTGGCTACGACATGGCTTGGAAAAAATTAAAAGCCACTGCATGGCTTCCGTGCTAGCTAACACGAAGATAGCAACAACAGAGCCACGACGGCTTATAAGCATAGACATATGCATGGCTATATCCTGGCCTGCATTGAAGACCAACAGCCAGAAGGGCTTCGAAACACTTCTCATAGATAGCCAAAGGAGGCTTGTGCAGAGAAGGCATGCAAAGCCAGAGTGGCTCAGAAACTATAGCCAAGAAGGCTGGACCAGAAATTAAGAATAGGAATAGAAACTTTAAAGACAGAATGGCTTCGAAACAGCAGACCTGCATAGAAGTGAAGGAGAGTATATAGAGAAAATTTAAAGCCAGAATGGCTTGACATGGCCGTAAATGTAGTGAATGTATAGTGGCTTGCATGCATGCAAACAACAAAAGCCTCGTGCACAGCGCTTTTTTCTTCGTCCTGCCTTGCCCCATGCCAGGGGTGGTGACACCTCCGACTGCTGTGCATCTGCATTTGTCGATGCTCGCAAAACCCCACAACCCCCTATACACGGGTGATCCTCGGATCATTTGTACACCTTTCCATAGCGAGCCTTCTGCTCTGCCACAAACTTAAGATAGTCAGCACGACCACGGAATCTTCTGCCGTTGAAGCTCGGATCTTGGCAAGTTGTGCAGCCGAGAGGATTTCCTCGACATCGAAAGCATCCCAGGACATCCGGGAGGCCTGCTGCCCTTTTGGCTGCAGGCCTCTTAAGGATCCCGGGAAGGGCTTTCGCTGCCGGGGCCGTCGGCTTGCTTTTGCCCGCAGCCTTCGGGACTGCTTTTTTTTGGTCGCTGCCTTTTTGGCAGCTGGCTTTTTGGGATCCTTCTTCGACTGCTTTGACTTTGCCTGGAGTTTCTCGAAAGCAGCATCCTCCAGCTCTTCAAGAGCACCTGCAAGAGGCTGCTTCTCCCCAGCTTGCGAAGTCGAAGGAGTCGACTGGGGCTGCACTTCAGCTTGGTCGACAAGCGGCAGAGGATCAGCAGCAGCAGCCGAAACAGCAGGGGCTGGTGGAGCTGCCGGGGCTGGCGGAGCTGGCAAAGCGGGCAAGGAAGGCAAGGTGGCTTGCAGTGCCGGTGGCAAAGCCGCCGAAACCGCTTGGGTAGCAGGAGCTGCTGGCGAAGGGGCCGCCTGGCTCTGGGTAGCGGGAACCCAGTTTGTCAGGAACTTTTGAAGCAAAAGCGGCCAGTCCGTATTCTCCGTGCCATGGCCTTTGTCAGCTGCAGACACCTCCTGAGCTTTCGTCTTGTAAGCAGCAGGCACGTCGTAGCCTTTGAGCAAGTGAGACGTCTTTCTCAAAGGCACCTTGTCATAGTAGACTTGCAAAGCCACATGGTGCACGAGAGGTGGATCGTCTCCGTAGGCTGACTTGAGCCACTCCTCGCCCAGCTGCTGCGGGTTGGGTGGGTAGACTTTGCAGCCCTTGACACCCGAGTTGACTTCCACGGAAAAAAACATCTTCTGAAAGTCTGGCAACCACTCATAGTGGATTACCGGTGCCGTGGGCAGCGGCAATTTCTTGCTGTCCATCCACCACAAAACGAAGGCACATGCCATTCCCTTCGTGCTCTCTTTCAGAGAAAGCAGTCCCAAAGCTCTCAACCGGGTTGCGACAACCTGGAAAGCACCGACGACAAGGGTTGTCGTGTGCAGGGTTTGCCAACCCCCCTCGCTGAAGTAGGCACTCAAGTTCGCAATAGTCTGCGAAACAATGATCAACTTGCCCGTACCAGCCATCAATGCACGAAAGGATCTTCTGCTTCAAGTCCTCATCCATGTCGATGTTCTCGACTCCTTCCGTCAACTTCAAGTAATCCTGGCAGTCCATATGCTCCTGGGACTTCAATCTTTCTTCGAAGACATGCCAAGCAGTCTCCACCATTTTGGAATTTGGCCGCTTCTTGCTGAGCTGCGCAGAGGAGTTCAGCTCTAGCAGCAAGTCCTCGACCTTCCAACCACGATTCAAAGCCATGCTGACGGCTCTTCTGTACAAAGGCAAGCTAACACCCCCAAACAAGAAAGGTTCCTGCAAGAATACATGTATGCAAAAATTGCTTGCCATGCATGCTCATCATGAATGCCTAACACAAAAGCAAAGCCACACTGGCTTCTTCGGATAAGCCAAATTGGCTTCTTCATTGCAACAATACAGCCACTGTGGCTTCGAACAAAAGCCAGTTCTGGCTGAAGTTCTAGCTAGAACAAGCCACACTGGCTGAGACAAAGCCACATTGGCTTGAAGACTGCAGGAGAAAGCCAACGCGGCTTGGGACTGGAGGGCGGGCTGCAAGGCGGTGCTTGTGAGCTTTAGCTAGGCTTACAGGCTTTGGGCTTGGGTGTTTATGTTACAAAGCAAGGCTTTCTACTGTGGCTTTGGAGCTTGTGGGCTTCAGGGTTCCTGGGAGAAAACCGCGGACCCCTCCTTCATTTTCACTGCCGGCGGAGATGCTCACCGTAGTTGAGCCGGCGATCCTGGCCGTGTTGGCTCCGGATGCCACGGCTGAGCTCGATCATCTGCTTCATCTGCTTCTCCCCGGCATACCTGAGCGGCTGGTTTGGAGCTAGATTTAAAGTTCAAGTTTAGGGTTTAGGGTTTGAGATTGCGGGGTGTCAGGTTTTCAGGTATTGGTGTGTTTGGTGGAATCACCCGAGCCATGCAATGGCTTCAACAGCCAAGATGGCTTGCACATACATCAATAGGTTGCATGTAGTGTGCTCTAGCAGCAGCAGCCATGGCTATAGTAGCAGTAGTACTAGTACTATAGTACTACTAGTAGTACCAGTACCAGTAGTACTAGGAGTAGTAGTAGTAGTAGTAGTAGTAGTAGTAGTAGTAGTAGTAGTAGTAGTAGTAGTAGTAGTAGTAGTAGCAGTAGCAGTAGTAGCAGTAGTACAAGTAGTTGTTCTTGTTGTTGCGACCAATGCAACCCAGACTCCAGTTCGCGAGCTCTGTGGCACGATCCCAGTCCTCGTCAAGGAGTGCACAGATCAGATTGCACACGTTCTGCTGCCAGACCGACGGCTGCATCTGCTTCCCCGCCGGGTCCTGGTCGAGCACGGCAGTGATCAGGGGAACGGCTTTGTTCTTCCACCCTCCCTTGACCTTGCCCGGTCCAGCCTGCCACGAACTGCTCGCTGGATCAGAAGCGGACGAACCGGTCCACTGCTCGTCAGTGGTCCTTCTGTCGTCTCTGGCCCACCAGTCGTCGCCGGTCCTCCTGTCGTCGCTGGACCACCAGTCGTCGCCACCAGTCGTCGCTCGACCACCAGTGGTCGCTCTTCCACCAGTCCGCCTCCTCATGGCCTGACGACCACCACCCACCGGACTCCCAGCCAGTGCTTCGCCAGTTGCCCCAGTCGTCATCTGTAGCCATGCTGGCTTGGTCCTCCAATAAGCAAGACCAGGACACGGTTTTGCACACCCTGGTGACCAATGTGCTGCAAGTGCGAAGGGTAGTCATCAGTGCCGTCTCCGACTCCGACGTGTAGTGCAAGCAGGAGATGTCAATCAGCGTCTCACCGTCACGAAAGGATCGCGTTGTGCTCAAGCAAACCTCAGAATCTCCCTAAAGAGCAGCATGAGACAGCAACAAGGTTCACAGGACCATGGCATTGCATAAAGCTTTGAACATGTGCATCCCTTTGCAGCGTGTTTCAGCTTGGTAGCCTGGCCGTCACCATGCTGGGTCCACGCGAGGTCTTTAGTCATCAGCTCCCGCTGGGCGAGCTGCGACATCATCTCCTCACCCTTCTGCGGTCCCGGAAGAGTCCGGTTGAGGCCGAACCTCCAGTTCGAGACGTCGACCGGAACATCTCGCAAGCACAAGATGTCGCTCGTCACCGGCTCCAGCTGAATCGTCGCCAGGTCCTTCAAGGCGAGCGGCCTTTTGGTGTTGTCCGTCACCAACTTCTTTGCATCGGAGAGCTTCAGTCTCACCGTGAGCATCTTTTTTTGGCCACCAGATTTGGTCGTGAGATGCATTCCTGGCGCACGCGCACACACACAATCAGGCAAAAGCAGACGAACAACAGAGCAACTAAGCAAATCGCAGGTTCATGTCTGTGACTTGCATGCGCCTGCGTCGGCGTCTGCATCGAAGGAGATCGAAGGCTATCAAGACGGGCCCTGGAGGTCTCGTCTGGTCCGGGAGAGCAGCAACGACTAGGCAGCTCAGATCAGAGCAGGGGGGAAACAACCCCTCCGAAAGGGCCGCGACTATCCGTCCTGCATGTAGCGGAGCAGAAGACAAGACTTCCAGACCAGGGCCTTGTATCTTCCCATTCTACCGACAACACAGACAGTCTCCGCCCCGAACAGAGTCTTGTGGCTATACGTAAATTGAACGAAACATCTCGTCCGATGGTGTGAACAACAAACTCTCATCTTTAAGGTTTTACCAATGCTCGCTCATCTTGAAAACAAGTCCAGCCTGAATAAGACTGTGTCCGGCCATGCGTCCTCAGTTTGTCATCTGACTTGCCTTCGCAACTACTGGTATTGTGATCCACACGCTCTCAATGCAGGCCAGGCGCACAGACACCGAGATGCGGGGAGGCGGGAAGAAGGAATTGAGCCAACAGCTCGAGCCTAGAAGGGCATGCAATACAAGGACAACGTCGTACAAGGATCTTCCTACACGCACACAAGCATGCAAGAAAACACCTGCCGGCCTCTGACCGCTTGGGCGTGTGCGTTGACGGCATACTCTTGCTTACTTCGCTGCCGGCTGCCGGCACTCTGCATGTTCAAGCGCCGCGTGCATTGACAACGGCGAGGAGAATTCACCACTGAAACGCTGAAGCCAGTTGAAAAAACACCATGAGTTTGTAACCGAGCGTCCACCCCGGAGTTTTTTGCATCTTTGTACAATAGGCGTTGTGGACACCATGAGTGTGTAACGCGAACTTCCACCCTGGAGTTTTTCTGCATCTTTGTATGGTAGGCGTTGCGAACACCATGAGTTTGTAACGCGAACGTCCGCTCTGGAGTTTTCTAGAGCTGCACTGTACTAAGCAGGCAAAATTCAAACAGGAACATCGTCCGGTTCCCAGGTTGGGGAAAGCGTCCCTGCAAAGGCTCCTTGATGCAGGTAGCGATCCATGTGGCTATGGAAGCTGGCGCGTCTCGTGGCGATTAGTTTAAGGTTTATGGGGTTTAGGGCTTGGACCACGTGGCGCTAGCCCTCAGTGGAGCAGCCGTTCTCGAGTGGCACTCATCACTCTCAAGCCTCTACTGTTCCATAAGCCCGCTTCTGCTCGCTGAGGCTCGATGCACAAGGGCAAGCACATCCAACATGTTAAGGCAGTGGCACAAGGTCGTAAATATAAATGCATCTTGACTAGGGCTAGGGGTTGGTTCAACGAATGTCACCGACAACAGCTCTGATCCAACTCTGCACCTCAGCACGTGCCAGACTTCCCAGCCGCTGCCTTTGTTCCGGAAGCATCCAAGATTTTTCCCAGACACAAGCAAACAGAAGCAGGCTTTAACCCACCCAAGAGGAAAGCGTGGCAGGCACGCACATGGCACGCAGCTTACGCCCCAGGTCCTGAACAAGCACGGCTCATGTAGGAACTCGCCATGTCGGCTAACGACAGCGCGTGCCCAACTGTACGTTTGACTGCAATTATGCCGCAAATCGCTCACTTTTACTCTGCGAGCTTTCGCCGTTTGCAGGGCCGCACAGCTTCAAAAGAGCGCCCATGCAAAATGTCCAGTGCCCAGGCTGCATGCATCCGGAACTGCGGGTCCACTTCGAGGAGCAAGCGAATGATATGACGCAGCTTCAGGCCCGCGATGTTGTCGAGGTCTTGATCATAGGGAAGGGGGCCGGCACTGATCTTGTCCTTCATCCCTTGCCAGCTCTGCGAACCATTGCGAGCACGGAATACATACTTGTCAGCCACCAATTCCTTAACGAGCGGTCGAAGTACACTATGCGAACTCGGCGGCTTCACATCACTGCGCGCCTCCGACAACTTAAACCGAGAGTCTAACGGAGTCTAACGCTCCCCAAAGTCACCAAAATCTTGCACAGAGTTCTTTCCACACGTGTACCGAAGCATCGGCACATTCACTCCACATGCTTCTACACTACATCATGTCCGTATGATTCCGTATGTGAACTCCGTGGCCTCACATCACTGCGCGCCACAGAGAACACATGTCACATTCTCTTAACTCGCATTGAGCTTGAGACCCACGTCGCCGAGGTACGTGGTCTCCAAGGGCCAGGCCCAGCCAAGCCGTGTGCATCAAAACGAGCATCGTATCCCCCCACCTACCCATGTGCATCAGAAAGAAAATCAACGAGGCCCAGATAAACGTTACAGTATAGAAAATCCGAATTCCAAGGTTCGATCTCACTCAGAGGAGATTTGGATCTAGCGATCTTTGAATCTTGTGGGGGAGCAGCTGGGGAATTACCTATACAGTAGCGAGACAGCTTCCCCACCCAAGGCAGCTGTCGTGTCTTGAAACCTAGAAGGGCAATGGCTCTCCAATCTCTGATACAAATGCAAACCTTCACGCAGCTTAGCTCTTCAGGCAGCTAAATCTAACGATTTCGGACCCTTCTGCGCAAGGAATTGTAACATTCTCACCACTCTGTCAAGGCTACGTGTGCACCTGTCTCCTGCTCAGCTTATCTGACCACAACGGGGCTTGTTTGCCAGAAACCCGCCAAAGCCTCCCGCACCGGGAGACGTTGGATGGGTTCTAGTTTCTCAAAGGCCCAACACGAGATCTAGATAGACTCACAAACTCCGGATCCACGAACAAAAAAGTCAAAAACCCACATCCACCAACGGGGCTCGTTCGCCAGAAAACCAGCCAAAGCCTCCCCAGCGGGTGACATTGGATGGTTCTAGTTTCTCAAAGGCCCAACACGAGCTCTCTCTCTCTCTCTCTCTCTCTCTCTCTCCTGGGCATGAGGGCGCGGTCAACGCCCTCGGGCATCATGCCCCCCCACC